ACACTACATAATAAAAAGGAAAAAAAAAACGAGTATAGAACCTAGCAAATGGGTTTCAAACTTTTACAAAACATGTTAAAATAATGGTTTTAACATGGGCTACCGATTTAGGTATCATTATATGAGAAAAATGCCAAAAACGAAAATTGTGGGCTACCGATTAGGTATTAATCGGACATGGGCTCACCACGCTGCAGCGTTCCTCCCTTGCTTTTGCAGTCCGTCCCTGACGTCCACCGTACCGCCGTGTGTCTGTCAAATTTGACATCACCGGCTTGGTATGTAAAGAGGGAGAGAGAAAGTTTGTAGAGAGGAGAGTGAAGGGAGAAGAGAGAGAGAGTGACGGCTACTCTAGTAAAGAGGAGAAAGAGTTGGGAATAAACCCTAACCCTTTATTCAGCCTTTCACTAAAAAAAATTTAAAAAAAATTAAAATTAAATCTGGCGGGTGAGCGGGGTACCCACCACCCTCACAGGTCGGCCCATAACCCGACTCGAAGACATGTTGATTTTTCGGTAAATCAAATCGGGTCAGCGGGTCGAGTCAATCGGGTCGGGTATTTTTGAACATCCTTAGTGCCTGGGGGTGGCTCGTGCCGGCAGCAGGCCGCCCCGGGTTTTTTCAATTTTTATTAATAGAAATCGATGTATATTTTTCATAAAACTTTAATAAATGAGTATATTTAAATAATTTATGTTTATATTTATGTATTATTAAATCATTATTTAGCAAAAAAGCAACAATGCATATAAATAAAAAATTTACGAGTGCAATAACACAAACATTGATGAATAACTTATTTTATTATATGCTGGTACGATAAATCGATAATACAATAATTTATAATGGTGATTAAAAATCGCACAATAATTGGTGAATCACTTACTATTATACAATTTTTGTATTATCGAACCCCGTATTCTGTATAATAAAATAAGCTATAAAATTAAGTTTTTCACCAATATTGTACGATTTTTAATTATCATTATAAATTATTGTATTTGGATTTATCGTACCGGCATACAATAAAATAAGTTATTCATCAATTTTTGTATTATCACACTCGTAAATTTTTAATTATATGCATTGTTGCTTTTTACTAAATAATAATATAATAATAGAAAACATAAACATATTTAATAAAAATAACTTAAATATACTCATTTATGTTTTTTACAAAAATTATTGTATTATCGATTTATTGTACCGGCATATAATAAAATAAGTTATTCATCAATTTTTGTATTATCGCACTCGTAAATTTTTAATTATATGCATTGTTGCTTTTTACTAAATAATAATATAGTAATAGAAAAACATAAACATATTTAATAGAATTATTTAAATATATACTCATTTATGTTTTTTACAAAAATATACATCGATTTTTATTTTAAAAAAATTTGAAAAACCCAGGGGTGGCCCGTTGCCGGCCCGGCACAGCACGCCAGGCACGTAAGCCGTATTGTGCCGTGCCATAGGCTGGGGTGTGCCAAAAGGTGGCACGGCCTAGCACAAGCTACCCCCAGGCACAACCCGCGATGGCCCGGCATAGCACGATGCCCACCTTTAGTCGTCATATCTCTATGGAGATCCCGGGTAGGCAGGAGGCTGCTGCGAGGCAGAGGGAAACTGTAGTCAGAGGGCAACGACAATGATAGCCCGGGTCATGAGTCTTTGTCACTTAGGTGTTCCCACTTGGTTTTGGTCCCATAGAGGTATGACCTCACGTGGTTTCTAATTCAATCAAGGTCCATCCATCGCCGCAGCACTTCAGGCCTCCACCTCTCTTCACCAGTGGGACATACGAGGTTGGCTTGTCGTAGTAGCCTGCGCCTCCTCTTTTTACTAGCGGGAGCTTCTACCAGTATGGCTTCTAGGGGTTCCCCTGTTTACTTAGTGGAGCAGTCCCACTATCGTGATCCCCACGACGGGTGGTGCCACCTCTAGTCAAGTGGTGTCTCCTCGGACTCGGGATTTTAACGAGTTCATGGGCCTTTCTTCTAGGAAGCCTTGTGCGCCAGCACCTTAGTTGTACTTGCATTTCATTGTTCTTTTGGACTATTTGAACTTTGCTCATGTCTGAGTATTATTGACTCTTGACACTTATGTACATTATTTAGACTCTTTTTGTACTTTTTGTTAGCCTCAGTTCATTGTACACTTGCTTTATGTGCGCATGAGTGTGTGTTTTGTGAGAGTGTGTGATTTTGTGACAAATTTTGCGAAATTTTTTTGGCACTTTTATTATCGTTGGAAGGTATCCGACTTTCTCCCCAAAAAGAAAAAATGAAAATAAAAAAAATAAAAATAAGAGGAAGACTGAGTGTGTAAATAAGTAATTTGAAATTTCTAAAAAAAGAAATATCAATTCATAAAAGCATTAAATCAAAGAGATTGAATTATCGTAAGAAAAGGTGAATGATTTTTGAAAAAAGATTGAAAAGATGAAAAATAATTTGGATCAAGATCGGATAATCAAAGTACAAGTTTTATTAGAAATCAAGTCAAAGAGTACTGGACGTGACGGCTCTATCGCAGAACGCCAGGAAAAGAATCTGTCTTCGAATAGTATTCAACTCCTGCTTCGATTTTCGGCTTAAAAGCCCCCAAACTCGTCATACCTCATCACAAATCAGCATTCAAGTTCTACATTCCCATATCTTTTAATTTTCGTAGGTTAGTAATTTAATTCTAGCGATAATGATTAAAAATTTCTCTGAAAAATTACTTGGTAGTTGTGTCGGTCTTTAACCAGTAGTGAGAGGAAATGGCTTAAATATCTCAATATGAATGATTTATTGGATCTTATGAGTGTAGATTTTGATAGTAATTTCATTCATGCTGTAATAGAAAATTGGGATCCTAATACTCATTGCTTTAGGCTAGGAACCTCTACCAGAAGAATTTGGAGCTATCTTTGGCTTTCCCTCTAGGCATCTTGCCGTAATCCTTACAATATGTGAATATTATTATAAGGATTTTGAGCTTTTTTATAATATAAGGGAATCCAATTTACAATCTATAGTTCATGGAAAAGAAGTAGATTTAAGAAAATTTGCATCTTTTTTCTTTAATAGACCTAAGTCTAGTTCTTTTCACATCTATAGAAGAAGAGTCTTTTTATTCTGCATGTTTAGCCAACTTTTGCTCACTAACGGTAGTGAACCGCATGGATCAAGCTATACTAGCATCAGTTATGGAACAAGTTGATGTCGGGAGAAATCCCATGCTTGCAATTATTGGACAAACAATGATGGGATTACATGAATTGAAGAAAGATCCCAAGGCACCAAGTCAACGATCACTTTTATAATTACAAGTACAAAATTAATACTTTTTACAGAAATAAAAAAATATTTAATTTTGTAATGTAATAACATTAATTAATTTTGTAATGTAATAACATTAATTAATTTTTATGCTTGCAGATTTGGCTAATGGAGAGACTAAGTTTAATCAATCCTCCCGAAAATGTTGAAAAGTACACTCCAAATTGTCTTGTAAGGAGAAAGAAACGTTTTTCCATTAAGATGCGCCATTGGTAGTGGAGCAAAATATTCCAGACTCGCGATTTCTCCATCAACTGGGATGTTCCTTAGTGGAAATTTGAAAAGATGAATGGAGTCAACACCCAAGCTTTATGTCGTATAGCCCCGTTTTTTGAACCTTTCATAGACTAATGGCGGCGAGGTTGACAAGAGAGAAAATTGAAGTCCTCTTTATGGCAGCGAGGTTTGAAAGAGGTTTTGAGGGGAATGAAAATATGTAAAAAGATGCCTAGAATTGAGGGATAAACTAGAAATGAAAAGGGATATTCAATGCGGGGAAATGATAACAATAATAGCGAAGGCCCTTAACTTTGAAAACCACATTAGTTTAATGACTTTGGTGGACTAGTGTCTTAGACTTCAACACAATAATGAACCGATCTTTTGTTAAGGAGACTAGCCGCGATAGTATCCATAGTTGGAGAATGAAGGGTAGACACACACCATTGCTACCTTCCCTTTCCTCACTATTGGAGCGGCTACAACTTGGGCGGTTCCTTAAGAGCCTTTAATTACAGGAGACATCATTTTGTAGAGATCCCACCACCCCAACCTAGAAGAGCTAGAACATCTTCCATGCCCAATGACCTGATCACATAACAGGTTCTTCCTCTTCATCCTCCCCTTTCGATTTTGACGTTGTTTTTCATAAAATGAGCTTGATGCATTCAACAACTTGAACATCAAAGCCATGTAGCACAACAATCTTACCAACACCAAGTTGAGAAGGGTGACTTTCACCAATCCCCCTTACCTCAACTACCCCAATCCGGTGTCGGTTTGACACAACAATCAACCCACCTATCCCTATTGGCAAGGACTTTATAGCTTAAGAGCTACACTATTCCTTTCGTAACTTTTATTACATGAGAGTTAGCTCAATTAAAACGATGAAGTTCAAAACGGAAACTCTTTTTTTCCTAACTTCTATCACATGAGAGTTAGCCTTCAATTTCAATATATTGGGTCCAAAGGATATAAAGAGTTGGAAGTCATTTAACATTTTTGTTACTCAAGAAGAACGATGAAAGATGATAGGCTTTTGTCCACTTACAAAGTAACTAGTTGTTAGCATTATACATATTAGATTGCTTTTTAACTCTTAGTTAGGAACAACCCGTCTTATCTTCTCTCTCTCTTCGTGGAATTTCTTGTTTTAAATGCAAAGTAATACATAATCTTTTTCCAAGTACTATAATATATACAAGTATGTAGTATTCTATTATAATGATCATTATTTGAGACGCACTATACACCTAATGTATAACATTTATGATGTGACTTTAATGTACAATTTTTTTCAATCTCTAGATCAATTATTATTCTAAGGCCTATAACAAATTGTATTAGGAAGCCTATGTCTCTTTTGGACTATGGCGAAATAATAATCAGTAGTACCAAGATAAGCCATCAAATCGCAATTCTAATGCATGCAACAATAAGACATACCTTCTTCTATGTCACGAAGTGCTTTCAGCCTTGCATGAACAGAGTCTATCCATATAATATGCACGTTAGGATCTGAAAGAAAAACCACTTTCCATCAATGCTAAGTATGACTAAAGTGAACAATTTACTCAATGCTCCATTAGATGTGACATCCATGACCAAGCTTGTGTTCAGTTTTTTTACTTTTGGACTAAGTAGATTAGGGGCCTAGGGGGTATCATTGAGTCTTTCATGGAAGATATAGGCGATAATTTAAGGCATATAATCTTTAAAAAAAAAAAAATTGAGCTCCAGCCTATGCTACTTGGACTCAAGATATTTTACTTGTCCAAGTTTTAGAATCAGCCTGTCAAAGTTTCCACGTTTTTTGTCCAAAATCAAGCATTAAGTGTCTGCATCCTTGTCAAAGATACAAAGATCAGACATGTACCGAGGACAAAATAGAAGAGTCCAAATAACATAAGAAACTGTTATGTACATGGGTCAAGAATACTTGAGCACTTGTACACAAATCTTGAATTAAGATGGAGAACTCACCACAATCATGATTGTAGAATGAAGGAAGGATATAAACAGCATTCCCAACTCCAGCTTCAGCTTCTACTGATGCTGCTGCCAGTGCATGGAGATCATCATATGACCCAGCAACCATTTCAATTCGAAATGCATTAATACGTACACGAGCCAATACATCAGCATACCACTGCTCTGACAAAACTGGTATTGTCAAAGGATCACCAGCTACTCCATGGATATTTCATTGAATGTTAAACGTATTGCTGATAGTATGCAAGTAACTCAAACGAAGAGGATACAATTTAAATTTTCCTTCGTTATATTTAATCCTTCGATAGCACTCCTAAGCATGCTATATTCCACTTCAATCTGAAAACATAAACATCAATAAGCAACCTACTTTTGTTGTATAACATATTGGAGACTTGGTGTAAGCATTCTCATCACATAGCAGTGATAGCACACTGACTAGTTAGGACTACCCACCAAAAAAGAACAAAAACAATTAAAAAAAATTAGCAAGTCATACAGAATTAAAAGTAATGGTTCTAATATTGAACTGTAGAAGTGCAACAGCAGCTCATGTCTCTAAGAAGAATTGAAGATGAAATTTGTTTGACAACCATCAGCTGCTAACTGCTAGCACAATATCTTGGCAGTTGACCATCATCATACCTAGGCATGAAGAATTATCATTGGCAACACACCAACACAGCAATTTTCAAAAGCTTGCATTGAACACATGGACTCCAAAAGTCAAAGTAGTGTCAAGATATACTGATACTTCAAACTCCATAATTCAGAGTTTTATGATAGATTTTGCATATAACATAAATATCGGACAACTGTTATACATATCTTAGTATTATATAGTGGCAGTCGACATGGCCATGACAAGCCATATGATGTGTATGGTGTTCTTTGTTCACATTAAACTCTAGCTCTGATCATGTTGTCATTATTCAACCCGAATCTACTAAACATCCCTATTGTAGGTAATTGAGCAATTAATATATCACTTGATAACTATAATAGCCACATTTGAAGCCATAGCTAGTTCATTCTTCATTAGAGATATATCAAAAATAGTTAATGCAAAGTGCTGGTAGCATAAAAAAACAAGTGCATCAACAACTTATAAAGCAACTAAAGTGCCTTTAGGTTATTTCAGGAGTATGATCATTAATTTACAAAGTATAGATGAAACATTTTATAGAAGATAATAGCACAAATAATATATATGGGTAGCAGCCCTATCAGGTGACTCATGGCAAATACCACGTATGTTACTACGTTTTTTTTTAAGCTTGAGATGTGTTTTTTTTTTTAATCAATCCTCAATGTATCAAATAAAATAGTTTTGGCTATGATATCTTTCAACTTATTTTACAAGCTTTTTACCCGTTCATATTATAATCAGGCCAAATAAAACCAAACTAGAAGATACCACCTTTTTTATTTATGTTTGTGGGAATATTATACTCCCTCTGCCCCTATGACCGTACAATCGTACATGCTTTTAGGCAATATCATTAATTTCTTCTTTACCTCCCCCCCCCTTTATTTTACCGCGTGAAATGTGTGATAGTTATTAAATAATTTAATTATACTTTCAATTTTTATTATAGATGGTGGGTAGATGGGTATTATTTTTATTATAGTTTTTGAGACATTATATTTTTTATGATCAGTGCAAACTAAGGGTCTTTTTTTATTACTAGTATATTTAAAAGGTGGTGGGGTTTTTTTTTTATTGGGTTTTATTTTTTTTTTTTAATTTATAAATTAAAGTTAGTGGATGGGTGTCCAAAGTTGCCCCAACTTTGCTCATATGCGATAGTTTACTTCACCTTGTGAATAACTTTATATATGCCCAATAATTTTCCTGCAAAATGTGAACTGATAATACTTTCTTTTTCTTATGAACCTCGGATCTTGATGGAGAAATTTTCAAATGGTGGAAGATGATTATGACATATAAGTGCTATTTTTCACAAAGTAGAGCAAAGTCATCTTACTAGTTTATCAGGGAGAGCAGGGAGCAAGCTAGTGCTAATCAAGAAAAGCCATGACATTTCACATAGAATAGATGACACTACATGGTGCGGAATTGTTGAAACACTAGTATTGTGTGAAAAATTGTCACAAAGCTGAAACAGAAAGTTGTGTTTGCAAATTGATCGTCTTAATCCATACCACACATGCATATTACACATGATTCAAACAATGCTTAAAAAGCATTTGTTCACAACACCAAGTAACCTTGTGCCCAACTGCTATCGAAGTCAACAAGATACTGAAAACATGGCAAATTTACATACTACAAATGTTCACATTCTGATTTTCAGCAAGCTTAAAAAAGATAGTCATAGAATCACCTTGGGTATTATATGAGCAGGTTGAAGTATATGAATGCAGTCTGCAGATGCTGCTCCAGCTATTACCATACATGCTAACCGCTTTACCAAAAGTGGATACTTCAATCCCAAATTTCTTCAAAATCAACAAAATGCAAGTGATACATTGTCAGCCATTGATATAGATGTCAAAGGAAAAATCGCCTTAATTAATTGAAAAAAATGAATACGTTAAATCGTGACAGATATTTGTCAATGAAATAGATAATACAAGTTTATGGGGCTCCATGATTTCTTTAATAGCTATTTATATTTGAGGAAAAACTTTATCTTGATTGGGGTACATCTTTCCTTCTGGAGTGTGAGCATTGCTTTTTTAATTTGCCCCAGCTTAGAGTGTAGATTGTTCCTTTCACCCAGAAATTTTCAATTCATGACAGATCATATGTTAGCTCATGCACTCATCTCATGTCCCTGTCAGGTTTCATTATGGAGAAATAACTAAGGAAGTAAGGAGTCAAAAGTTAGACCTATTGACATATTCTCCACAACTAATGCTATTATGGAACTTGCATAAAGAATGAATAATTATCAGGACATACATCTAATTCTTCCAATGTGACCAAGGAACATTAATCCTGTTATACATATGCTCTTGATTTATTTGGATTGTCTCTTCAAATGACTGTTCTTATCACCCTAACTTATATGCGCTCAATTTGCACAATATCCTAGGTTGATGTCTCAAATTATTTTTGGGTGGATGAATCCATGAATTTGAGTTCTAGGTGAAGCCTAGGGTGTATATCTCTTGTGCAGATTTGTGGCTTTCTATTAGGTTAATTGCTCCTTTAATGCATTGCTCTTGTGGGTTCTAATGGGTTCAACGACAAAGCTACGACTATTTCTGATTCATATTACCTAGTTACATACTTACATCGATTGTCCATCTCCTTAAAAGTACTGCATTCACGAATTGATAATAATTAGTATTCTGTTTAACATTGCTTGCAGGAGTAGTTTATTTATTCATCTGTTAATGGTTAAAGGAAGAAAGAGAAAATTAAAAAAAATTAAAAATTAAAAAAAAAAAAAGTACAGCAGTATGTAATCTTAATTATGAACTGAAAATCTCACATACCTGCAGTACTTGTGGTAATCGGACCAATCTGCCTTCTTCTCTAGTTCATAATATGCCTGCGAATAATTAGAAGCATAGCTCAAAATCTCAATGACAGAAAATAGAGGAGTGAACGACCCCCCCCCCCTCTCCCCGGTGCATATATGTTTCATAATTTCTTCCAGCGAAAAATATCAACTACAGTACATTCAATCGATTGAATAATTGTAGCAACTAAAAACCTCTCAACAGATGTCAACTAGTTTAGCAAGTAAAACTATAATGGTTGTGCAAAGACTGTCATAACAATCATGTTTTGTATCATCAACCCATGTGCTTCCTAGCTAGTAATCAATATAATTTGTAGTTGATTACTCTTCCGAAAAGACTTGAGAAATAGCTGGGCCAATGTATGAAAAGCCAATATAATTATACTGTATCATCAAAATCGCCTCCCCTAGACCACAAAAGGTGCATGACCCCTAACGCCTTGCACCTCAGCGCCTAGGCATTACCTTTTTAAACAATGAGCTGCCCAAAGGAAAAGCAAAGCAAAATGCTATCAGTACCACTCAGCAGTTGCTATTCAGACTTTCTAAACATCTATTAACTTACTACTCCCTCCGTCCCTAAATTACATTCCTACTTTCCTCTATTATGTGAGGAATAAATGCTAGAACTTGGAATGTAAGGGACGAAGGGAGTAACTAATTAGTCGAGATAGGCTCAAGTTCAATTTCGATAATCTAAGTACAATTGTACAAGCCAATTATCCATTGTTTATTTTCGTTAATGCCCGACTTTTGAGGTTTATATGATTTATTTCACACTATAATCTTTTACAATCTTCAATCATTTTCATCTCTCCAATACCCCTATTATACAAATCAACCTAACAGAAATGACAACTGCATCTCCCAGTTTCAAATTCGAAGAAACCAAACATCAAACACTTGGCGTGCATCATATTTTTTCAAAAAAAAAAAAAAAACATCCATATCTTATTTCTCTCCATATAGCATATACTCAGTAATAAAAACAACCGCACAATTAACATAAGCAAAACAAGTATTCTAAATTATCTAACCAACTTCTCAATATTGAACCCATAAATTAATTTTCTAAAATTGCAAATTAACGTTGTCATCCTTAATTGAAACATTAATCATTAACCCGTGATTTTGTTATAAATCTGTCAATACTTATATTTGTCTAACCAAAATTTCAACATTAATTCAGAATTTAATTTTCCAAACAGAAATTAACAACCCTAATTTAATCAATTAATCATCATAACACCAATAAACACGTAATTTTGTCATAACTTGTAATTAGACCATAGAAGTATAAAACTGCATAAATCAAAACCGAAAAAAATAAAAATTCACAAACTAAAATTGGAATTTAATTACCTTAGCTTCTTGATGACATTCTTCGGAGCAAAATCGATCAACCCGAGTCTGAGAATCGTTACTGAACTTCAATTTCTTAAGGCAAAGGTAACAAACGCAATCGATTTTGGAGAGAGAAGGGTGAGAAATCACTGGTTTTGCAGTGTGAATGAGTTCAGCAGCTTCGATTCTTCGAGTTGCGAAAACTCCTCGACCTGCTGACTCGGTGATATCAACTCGGATTGGTGGAGGTCCGACATGGTTAGTTGTTGTTGTTGAGATAGTGGAGATGGAGAATTTCAAAAGTGGGTTTGATGGTGAAAGTAGTTTTTTGAATTGAGGAGAAAGATAACGGCTAGTTACGAACAACATTAGGGGAAATTTTCAGCAATGCTTGGGTGTGGTTCAAATTTTTGTTGTCTTTTTTATAATGGAAACTAGACTAGGTTAGAAATTTATTTTTATAACTAGGTGAGTTCTGTGCTATGCATGTTTAAACAATTAATTTTTGCTTATTTATATGTGATACGTATTTAAGAAAAAACATAATAAATCATATGACTTATTATTAGATAATTGAGTCATAACAACAGATGTGATGTTAAATACGGTGTATTATAATCATATATTATACTATATATTTCATTTTTTATTTTATTTTTGAAAACCATACTATATACTTCATAATTTAAATAAAATTTAAGCTTTTTTTCTAAGATATTAGCATATACTTCGTATAAATTTATTGGTTTGCCTTTCATTAAAAATAATTTGAAGAACTAAGAAATAATGGAACTCCCCAAAACATACAATCATTGTAAATGTATTAAGTAGGAGGAACGGGAAAATGCGTAGTTAGCCAATTTAATCATTAAATTCTTTAGGAAATATGCATTAATCTATCAATTTCAAACCTTTATTTATCTTTAAAAAAATGATGTCACCAAAAGTTTTAGAGGGAATTCTTTTTATAAGAAGTTGCCACTTGGACAATGATGATGTCAGCAGTTATTACTTTAGTTAGATTTATACATTTGAACAATTTTTTTTTAAAAAAATGGATAAATATAAATAAAAATATGCACCTTGTACAAAATATGTGTATTTTGAAAATTTTAGATATTTATTAAAATTATGATATAATACCTATTCAACTTTGGCTAATACATACTTTAATGTAGGAGTCTATTTAATAATGTACAACTTAAAATTATTTCATTTTTTTAAGGATAAATTAATAGGTTGTATTTGTAATATAGAAGTTTCTAATATTCAAATTTCAAAATCTATTAAATATAATAGCACAAAAAAAAAAAAAGATAAAAGTAGAAGAAGAAGATGACATTATCATGTAATTAGGCGGAAATTTTTTTATTATGAGAGTGACATATGGACAGTGATGACATCAGCAAAATTTTGTTTTAGTAATAGTTAATAGATTAGGTCAATGTGCCTATTTATTATTAGTTGAATGTTATGAAATCTAATATATATATATATAGGGAGTTTTTTCCGAGTTTTTAGAGAGGCACGTAGGATCTAATTTTCTTAGTGTGTCAGGTAGGATTTTAAATTTTAGCATTAGCCAATTAAATAAGAGATTATTAAAATCTTTTATAATTAAATAATTCAATTGCCACGTAAGCAAAATTGGCAAATTAAATTTAAATTAATTAATTATAAATATTATCTTTTGACATTAGGAATTTTATCTATATATATAACCAATTTTAGCACATAAATTAAAAAATATATATATTTTAAAAAAATTCAAACAAACCGTGCATTGCACGGGCTTCATCTAGTATTGTTATTTGTGTGGATGCCCATTTTACTCCTTATATCATTCCAGAATATTCTAGATAGATCTAGGGTTTATATTCTTATCCAAACTACCCTAATTATATTGTATATATATATACCTCATCAATGGTATAGAAATAGACTGATTGATTCTCTCCCCAATTTCTCTCTCTTTCTCTTAATTTCACAACACTTTATCAGCACCATAACTCTAAATTAATTTCAATAGCAATTAAAGCATCATAAAATTGATTGATCTCAAACGACAATTAAAGGTAAGCCTCAACTTTGTTATTATCAAATTATTAGGTAGATAATTTTATACACTTTAACTAATCGACATGTATATATATTTGTTGGATATATTCTAATTAATAATTTTGATGAAGACTTGTTTTGATATGGAGTATTGTGGTTATTATTATAATAATACTGTGTTTTTGATATATGGATCTAACATTATGTATTGTGTCATATTAAGAAAATCTCCCTTTTCGATTGTTCTCTAATATAATGATGATTGTTTTTATTAATTTGGTTATATATGCTTTCATACTTTATGCCTTTATATTATATTTTGTTTCTTGGATTGATAGAATATAGTACTTCGTATTGGCAAAATAATTATTGAGCAAGAAATTCTGAAAAGAGAAGGTGCAGCAAATTAAGTTGTGTTATTAAAAGTAGGTTTCAAAGTTCAAGATGTCTCGAACTCTCCATATAACTGCCATCAAGTTGAATGATTGTAGGATGATTGATTTGGTTTTATTTTAGTTTCCAAATTCCTGTGATGTGCAACTACTTAGATTAATATGGGGTCAATAATGCTTATTATTGCTTTGTGGGCTACCAGCTAAAGACCATATTAAACTTTTGATAAATTGATATTTAGTTTATTAAACAAATTAACATCAAATGAACTGTGAAGGCGTGAAGCTCTTATTATAACGTGTCGGCTAACATTTGGGATTAATTTCCCTAAGAATTGAATATCGGCGACAATATAAGCGTCGAAAAGGTTCTCAAGAAATGATCAAGGGTTTGATCCAACACACCCGAAAGCCTATAAGATCCCAATGCACTCTAATGCAGGAAAGTAGTCTTCCTCGCTACATACATAATTTCGTTATACTCATCTAACTCACTTAATATGTAAGTGTATCCCTTCATATTATTTTTTTATTATTATTTTTTTTAATATATATATATATATATATATATATATATATATATATATATATATCTTTTTTGTTATATAAATGTATTGTACAATGTGGGGGTTAGTTACTTAGTTTGTCGTACACTCGTACTAACTAATGAGGTTTATGAGAATTATGACTACACTATATTATGACGCAAATTAATAATGTTCAAGTAATTAAGTGGATTAGTGGGTCTTATATTTTGTTGTTAATTCAATGTTTTATGAATTTCATTTGTTGAATATGTTTTAATTTTGATACGGTTGTCAAGTAGTTGTTACTCTCTAGTCTCGACATGCTTATAATATTAATTGCATATAAGCCTTCACTTTTGTTTGGTAATTTTCTATGGAATCAGTAGATTCGTAACCAGTTACAACAAAAAGTTAGGAATTAGAATTCTTATCTGGAACTACACAAGATTGATATACATGCTTAACAATATCAATAAGATAACCATTAAGCAACAATCTATTGTTTGAATAGTAATATCCTTATCAATATTATCATATATATGTATATACTTGTGTTTATTAATTTGAAACATTGATTTTGGTTCACTAAATATATAACAATTTTTATTTGTAATTGATTATATGCTAAATCAAGTAACAGTATCTTGAGGAGTGTTGACATTAATTAATTATATCAAGTTATTATATCATATGTCTTCAAAAAAAAAAAGTTATTAGATCATATTAATCTTTTGGTAGTATATACTCAAGAAATAAAAAGTACTATCAAATTATATCTTTATAAGAGTCATAATTACACAGGACTTGCACATATGGATCTGGTTTTTGAAGGGATCAATTTGCAAAATATATGTTCTGCACTAGTAAAGGTACGTCTAATATAATTACAGTTTCAATTGTAATGCCAAATAATTATTTCCTATAATTTATAATAGATTTGAGTTTGATAAATGATAAATATTATTACCCTTTTTTTTTTATTAATTTATCATGTGAATTTCTTTCAAACAAAGCTTTAAGTTGATTGTTTATTGTATCTGACAATTGTTTGGCCTTGAATCCCACTTGGTCACTTGGCTTTAATGAGCATAGTATGTAGTAGGTACTCTGTTACAATAGTGAAAGCAATTTTATATTTTGGTGATCAATTACTGTTTGTATACATCATATTTGGTTTTATGATTAAGGTTGTTTATGTTTTATTAATTAGCCAAGGGCAATTTTGTTTCAAGTACATAACATATAGGAAAAATTGCCCGCAATAATTCGACCTTTTGCCCGTCCGCTGAAAATAATCCCACCTTTGGATTATTTTTTAATAATCCCACCTTTACCCCTAATCCGCTTCCAATGGTCCAGGTGACCAGTTACCTGTTAAAAAGGTATTTTTTTTTTGGGTGTGAAATACACGTGTCACTATACAATTTGACCAAAAATTTTAATAAAAAAATGAAAAAAAAATCCACCAGCCACCCCTCCACCAGCCCCAGCACCCCTAAGACACACCACTTCAACCACCACCATCCCCACCTGACCGTTACCACCATCCCCACCTGAACGCAACCCACCAAACCGAAACGCCACTCCCACCCGACGCCGACCGGAACCAACCAACCCCAAAACTCTTTCGAAACCCACCAACCCCATGCCAATTCGAAACCCCACCCAAACCCAAAGCCACCACTGCCACGAAACCAGACCCAGCCAACACCGCCACGGCGCCACCAAACCAAACCCGAAACCAGATGTCGAACCCACCAAACCCGAAACACCGAACAAGACCCCAACCAAGCCGATGTTAAGGGACGGGGAGGGGGTTGGGATCGGGATGGGGAAGGGGTTTTCGAGGGTAGGGGGATGCCGAAATTCGGGAAAGGGGGAGGTCGACTCGGCCAGAGGGGGCAGGGGATGTCGGAAAATCCGAAATTGGGGACGGGGAGGGGGTTGGGATCGGGATGCCAAAATTCGGGAAAGGGGGAGGTTGCCGCGCCGGGATTGGTGGCTGGCTGGGATAGGTGGCAAGGGAGGTGGTTTGGCTGGTGGGTGGTTTTATTATTAATTAATTGTTTATTTTATCTTTTTTTTTAATTTTATTATTTGGACTAATCGGGTGTCGACGCGTGTCAAGTGACTTGCTACAACAAGTTAAGTTACCGGTTGGGACCATTTAAAAAGATCGGGGGGTAAAAGTGGGATTATTAAAAAATAATCCAAAGGTGGGATTATTTTCAGGGGACGGCCCAAAGGTGGGATTATTCCGGGCAATTTTTCCTAACATATATTACTTAAAGTGTTAAACGGTACAACTCTCAATTCAATATAACTTATTGTATTAATGCATCATTTTGTATTGTATATAGTATGCATACATACATTTTTTTTATTGTGTCAAATCTCGATTGGCTTGACGTTGAAAGGGAATTTAAAATTATTAATCAATGTTAATTTTGTTTCCAAAGCTTAATTTTGGCTAGTATAGTTGAGTGGATCGAATAAGGTATGTTTTGATTAAAGCTCGAACTGATTATGTCATGTCTTATTTTTACCTTCTCTTATCTG